AGAGAGAGAGAGAGAGAGAGAGAGTTCTGAAGCAGACTTGTTCATAAAGACTTTTCCATACTACTCTTTCCTGACTCTCAGTTCATTGTGTGGCCACTGGAACAGGTGAACAGGGCTCTGGTGAACAGGATGATTATCCAGCACATCAGATTTGGCTATGGGGTGACCTCACGAATGAACTCAGAGGACAGCAGAGAACAGACATGAGATCGAACAAGTGAATATTTTCACCAAGAATGATTTTTTTTAAAAAAATCACTGGGAAAGGGAAGTATTTTTGACACGGCTAAAAATGTTTATAAAATGTTTACTCATAATCAATGTTCCCTCTAAGCTGAGTTATGTGTGAGCTAGCTCATAGCAGAATTTTTGCTCATAAGACTCCAAAGCTTATGCGGAGCATTGCTTGTTTATTGTTGTTGTTCAGTCGCACAGTCGAGTCCGACTCTTTGCGACCCCATGGACCAGATCACGCCAGGCCTTTCTGTCTTCTGCCGTCCTCTGAAGTTGGCTCAATTTCATGTTCATTGCATCTATGACACCATCTCATCCTTTGCCGTCCCCGTCTTCTTTGACCTTCAATCTTTCCAAGCATCAGGGTCTTCTCCAGTGAGTGCTCCCTTCTCATTTGGTGGCCAAAGGATTTGAGCTTCAGTTTCATTATCTGGCCTTCCAGGGAACAGTCAGGGTTGATTTCTTTTAGGATTGACTTCTCCACTGGAGAAGGAAATGGCAACCCACTCCAGTATCTTTGCCAAGAAAACCCCATGGACAGTATCAAAAGGCAAAAGGCATTGCTTGTAATTGTGGCTAAATTCTAATAATTTTCCTGAAAATGCCAGGATACTTTCAGCATCAGCCCTTGGTCTTTCCTGAGTAATCCACCGGTCATTGTAAGCCACAAGGGAACTGACAGTTCTGATTATCAGAGAAAATAGCCCCACTGTTTTTATGATGTGGGGTTTGGAGGCAAAACATCTATAGGAGCATGAAAATGCAAATAATTTTGATACTGTTGAAGAAGTTCTCTATAAAGATTCCTATCTATTTGAGTTTGCTGCTGAATTTTCACTGAAGTGAAAGGTGAAACAAATATGAATAACTTCTTCTCAAATGAAACATCTGTCAGAGCTTCAAGTGATGTTAGAAGCATTTTGATACGACTAGCAACAGAAATTTGCATGCTTTGAAAGGACTTTGAAGCAGGTCTACTCAGAATCCTACTGCAGTCGGGCTTAATCCCAGGAAAGTTCTTTGGACTGCACCACCTACAGTGGAAATTCATTTTTGGAATTCCAGAATGTTTCCTGTTTAGGTTTAGATATTTTTGTTCATTTTTTTCCTCCTCAAGAAAACAACAAATTTAACAGAATTTTACAAAGAGGTATTGAAAGTTTACCTATAAACAGGGGTCATTTCCTGGAGGAGCGCACAGAAGCGCAGCTCCGGCAGTAAAGAGCCCAGGGGGCGGGAACATGCAACAAGCCCCACCCCCTGCTCCCAGCAGCCCTCAGTCAGAGCAAAAAGCAGCCAGGTAAGCTGCAGAGCCCCCCCCCCCCAGCCCCCTGGTCCAAAA